ATTGATGTTCCTCTCCTTTCTTTCTCTCTCCTTTCACCTCTCTCTAAAAATAAATACATGAAATCTCTAAAAAAAAAAAAGAATTTAAAAATAAAAATAAAAATTAAAACTTCTCCAAAAAGTAATCTATTTTAAGAAAAACGACACAAAAGACAAAGACTTGAGAAATCATCACAGAATGAGATGAGGACAATTATAAAAAATGAGAGACAGAAAAAATAGTTTGTTCACAATAGTAACCAAAACCACAAGGTATCCAAAGTACATCAAACAAAAAAAGCACAAGACCTTAATGGAGAAATTTTTAAAACAATATTGAAGATTTGAAAAAAAAATGGAAAGATATCCTAGGTTCAAGGACAGAAACACTTACCTCCACAGTGTCAAATTCCTCTAATAATCTATAAATTCAATGTATTTAAGAAAAAACCCAAAGGGGTTTCATGGAGACTGACAAAATAAAACTACGAAGGAAACAAGAAAAGAAGAAAACTGCCTTTTCTCTCTCCGCCCCCACCCCACCCAGGGAAGTCCTACTCCCAGCGCCTGGGCCACTGAGACAGGATAGTACGGGCGCGGGCGCGGGCGCAGGCGCAGACAGACCACAGGAACACAGAAACCGGAAACACGCCCAAGCACACACAGGAACTTCGTATATGGTGGAGTTTGCATCAGATCCAATACACGCTTCGGGGGTAACTGGCTTAGCATAAGGAAAACAGAAAAATCTGTTTTCTACCTGACACCACATACAAAAATAATTCCAGGTGACTTAAGGTCCTAAATGGGAAAAACAAAACTTTAATGTTGTCCACACCTAGCTCTTCACCTAGCTATTCTGTTTTTGGTAATGTATTTTGAGAAAATAATTGGAAAAGGGCAAAAAGACTTGTGCACAAGAATATATCCTCAGGTCCTTCTATTATTATTTACAATAAAACAGAAAAAAATAAAAGCCTAAATGCACAACTGAGAGTTAATTCAATGAACAGCAGAGTAGAGCCGATAAAATGACGATGCCGATCTGCGGCACGGACATGGAAATGAACTCTGTAAAAGCGGACTGTGTGCAGCCCCAGTAACGGAGACGTGGTGTTTGTGGGCACCAGCGGAATCTGTTCAATGTGATAGAACAGAGAACCCAGACGTACACCCACACAAATGTCCCCGTTAACTTCTGACAAAGGTGCAAAAGCACCTCAGTGGGAGTTGTTTTTTCTATCAAATGGTGCTGAAGCAATTGGACAGTCATAAGCTAAACAAGAAAAAAAAAAAGATTTAAAAAGAACCTTGAACTAAATCTCACACCTCACATAAACTAACTCAAAATGGATCATGAGTTCAAATGTAAAACTATGAAACTTGTAAGGAAAAAAAAAACACAGAAGAAAGTCTTTGGGATCTGGGGTTAGGCAGAGTTCTTAGACTCAACCCAAGGACATGATCCATAAAAAATGAATGAATTAGACTTCGCCACAATTTAAAACTTTTGCTTCTGTGAAAGATGTCGGTAAGAAAATGAAAAGACAAGCCCTGGCTGGCGTAGCTCAGTGGATTGAGCGTGGGCTGGGAACCAAAGTGTCCCAGGTTCGATTCCCAGCCAGGGTACATTCCTGGGTTGCAGGCCATAACCCCCAGCAACTGCACATTGATGTTTCTCTCTCTCGCTCTCCCTCTCTCTCTCTCTCCCTCTCTCTCTCTCTCTCCGCCCCCCTTCCCTCCCTAAAAAGAAATAAATAAAATCTTAAAAAAAATAGTTAAAAAAAAAGAAAGAAAATGAAAAGACAAACTAGAGCCTGGGAAAAAGTATTTGCCAGTCACATATCCGACAAAGAACTATATCTAGAATATTAAAAAAAAAAAAACTCTCAAGAATCAACAGTAAAAAAAAATCCAACTACAAAAAAAGCAAAGGACATGAATAGATATTTCATCAAAGACAACATTCAGACAGCAAATAAGAACATGAAAAGATGTTCAAGAATATTAGCCATTAGGGAAATGCAAATACACAGTACAGTGAGATATCACCACTGGCCTATTAAAACGGCTCAAATGAAAAACAGTAAGAATACCGAATGCTGTCAAGGATACAGAGAGCCCGGATCACTTATATAGCGCTAGTGAGACTGTAAAATGGCACAGCCACTCTGGAAAACAGTTGGCAGTTTCTTAAAAAACTAAACATACCACTATTAAATGACCCAGCAGTTGTACTCCTGGGCATTTCAATGGTAAATGATTAAGTGTACCGCCGTCCATTCGTGGCATAGACTGCTGTTCAGTAGCAAAAAGTAATGAACTGTTGATGTATGAAATAACCTCCAGAATGAATCTCCAGAGGATTATGACAAGTGAAAATAGCCACTCCCAAAAGGTTACATCCTGTGTGATTCCATGTATGTAATGTTTTTGAAATGAGAAAATTATAGAAACAGAGAACCAACCGGTGACTGCAGGGATGAAGCAGGGAGCGGGGCAGGAGGGAAGGTGCCGTGGCTCTGAAAGAGCAGCGTGTGGCGATGGGGACAGTCGGGGTCCACACCGGTGTCCCAGCTGCGACACTGTACCCCAGCTCTGGAAGGTGTTACCACCTGGGGGAAACTGGGACTCATGAGGTCTCTGTATTATTTCTTATAACTGCATGTGCTCATACAATTACCTCCAAGTGAGAGAGCACTTATGAGTCCACTTCTACATATTCTACATATTAATACATAATAACACAGTATCTACACATTAATAAAGAAATGTCTGGAAACCTATCCAAGCAAAGAGTAATAGTGATTATTTCTGTTAGTAATGTAATGCATGATTTTTCAATTTCTTCATATGTTCATGCGTCACCAAAATTTTTCCAATGAGCATGCTGTGCTATAATTGTAAGAAAAAATAATTAAAGCTATTTTCATTATGCAAAAGGCATGTAATGTATCTTTGTTGTATATTTTTTTTCCACTGAACATGGTACTACATTAACTCTTCAAAATGTTAAAAGTTGTTCAACATTCCACTGCACTGATCTGTCCATTTTACCACTTCCCTTAAGGATGGTGTCCGATTTCTCATTGTTAAGAATAATAACAATGCAATAGGTTGCTTGTACTGGCATCTTTACAAGCATCGATGATTATGCCCAATAGCTGGAACACTAGTTAGGAAGTTACTGGGTAATGGAGTTAGAGACACTAGAATACTGAAGAACTGCTATCCTAAGAAACTATGAATTTATGTCCCATCATTAGTATGTGTGTGAGAGACCATTTCACTCTGTCCCTCAGAAGTTGCCAAAGCTGTGTTCGCATTCCCAGCTCCACAGGTCGAACAAGTAACAAGAAGCCACACTAACTTCCTGCAGCCACTTCAAGGCATAATACAGTTGCCTTCACCCCAGTCTTCGGCTTGGCACACTCTAACACGTATGGGCCTTCCTCCTCTTCCTTTCCCTTCACCTCCACAAAGTTCACACTTCTGAGCCTGACAATCAAAACCTACCTCTTTTCACCTTGTTCACCTGGCTCCAGCCACTCTCACAGCCCTGCTGCTCCTCAAACATGGTTCACACACCTCTGTCCACACACTCCCGTGTGGAGAGCCGCAGGGCTCACCCCCTCACTGACTTCAGGCCTCTGCTCAGAGGTCCCGTCAGGGGCCTCCCGCCCCCCGACGCTCTGCAAACCAGCAACCCCCTCCTCCAGCCTCCCTGTCTGTATGTGCCTGCTCTGTTTTTGTCCAGCAATGACACACTGTGGGTTTTTTTTTAATTATTTTCCTAACATTTTCTGAAGGTGAAAAAAAAAAATCCTCCAAGGCACTGCCATCCCAAATGGTACAGACTGTAAGTTTGTCTCCTTATTGTTACCGGAACCAAAGTCACCTCCAGCACCACTGATTTCTAAGCCCTCCCTCCTACAACCTTCATATCGGTGTGTCTTCCCCCCATGTTGGGCTCTACCCACGCGAATACCCTCAGTCTAACGCTGCTCACAGAGGGGCTCCATTCACCTGTCTGCTCTGGTCAATAACCTTTGGCTCAAGGCTGGTGTTCTCTGCATCCTCCTTTTCACCTTTGCAGCGCCCAGCCCCTGTGTCCTCTCTAGAAGCCAAATCAGCAAAGATCACTATATGCATACTTAGCTAATTCATACCAAGGTCTGCGTGATTCGATAAGTAACGGAGAGAAAAGCAAATCCTTGGAGTTTCCAAGTGGAAAAAAGAACGATGTGAAAATGTATGGCCTGTGTTCTAAGACATTTCCATTCCCCTTATTTCTTCATATTTATTATCTTTTTTAGTTTGTCTTACGTCTTTCTGCCTGAAAATTCTTATTCTAGTTGGACATTATCCAGAAAGCATCTCCCTTGTGTCCGTCATTCCCGTCAGCACTGACCCCCTCCCTCTGATAGCAAAGGATGCCCCATCTGACGCCCCTCCACCCCAAGCAAGTGTGTTCTGCCTCAGTGAGTCTCCAGTTCGTGCTGAATTTCCACCTCTCCTTCAAAACGTATTGGAAAGCTCCCTTCCCACACATCATTAGGAATGAGATCCACGCAATCAGTCCTATGGGAAACGCTGGCTTTTAAATGCCATTACACAATTAGATTATTTTTTAAAAGAAAGTACTTTGAGATAAAAAATACATCTTTTAAAAAGACAACTTTATGTTATTTTCTTCTCTCTTTGTAATAGGCAACGCAATGTGTTTGCTTTGTTTCTTACCTAGACTTTTTCAGGGTCGCAATGAACGGGAAACATTTTTTATTTTAAATCGCATTTTCCTTGAAATGTGAAATACATTAAAGCAAGGCAGAGAAATTTTAAAGAACCACGTGTAACATCCTGTGCTATTTTGATGGTAGAAAAACACTTTAAAAACAACGATATCTTTCTGCATTCGACACCAAAACTTCCTGCGATGCCCTCCACTGCTCACACCACATGCTAAATGAAATGCTCCTGGAGAATACAACCCGCCTGAGGGCCCGTGAAAGACGACTCACCAGACTTCTTCGCTCTCAAAGCGATAACAGCTGCTAGCTCTCTCTGCACCTAATAAAATATTAGGGGAAAAGCCCATTAGAATAGAAAACTGTAGCCATCAAAAGCAGTTAATTCGTTTTTACACAGGCAACCCAAATTAAGAGCTATTGCAATTTAGAGCCAAGTTTCCTGCCACTTTTTGGGTTTTTGTTTGATTTTGGTAATGTGGAAAAACGCTGCTTAGGAATTCCAGGTCAAAAATCCCAAATAATCATATTGACTCACTTTAAAAAGAAATCAGACAGTTGCCAGAGTACATGCATTATAAAACATTGGTATTTTTGCCACATACGGATGGGAAGAACCTCAAAAATACAATTATAAAACATTCAGAAATGATGCAAATAACCAATTCTTAAAACAGGCAAAAAAGCTGGCAAAGATGCTAACTATTATCTACCCCTCCAAGATTCTAGTTTATTCCAGAATTCTAGAACAATTAAGAAAGGTGACCCTGGCTTAACTGGACCGCCCCTCAGACACAGTAAGTGTTCACCTGAAGTCTGACCGGTTCACAGCAAACAGTTCGGGAAATATGCTGCCTAAAAACTCCCAGGGTAGTTGCAATGGGAACCGACAAGACAAACTTAAAAACCCCAAGTGCCATAACACACCCCCACACACTTATTTGTCCAGATTTTTGCTTTCTCACTCTCTTTTTCCCCAAACCCACATACTTTGAATACTTTAAATCCTTTCTCAAAAGCCTTCTCAAAGAAGAACATAAAAGAGACCAAAAAATAAAAAAAGAAATGTTAAGCACAGTTGCCTTCAAGGATAACATGAAAAAGAAAACTAGAGAAGATCCTCTTTGGGAAATCTGTGTTTGGTGGCGATTAAAAATTCCCTATCGAGCAAGCTCATTCCTCCACGGCACACAGCTTTTGAGGCTTAGAAGTATGGGCACCTTCAGATGTGAGGAGGAGGTGGTGTTGATGAGTTTGGAGGGGTCCTGATAATGACATTTTAAAGGGAGAACACAGAAGTTCAAGGTGAAAGAAGATTTGCTGTTGAAATGAATCTAATTTCTATTCATTCACTTGCGGGCAGAAATAGCACAATGGGCTAGACACTGGACTCCACTCAGGGCCACTTTCACAACAGCCAGGACATCATCACCCCTGAAGGTGGTTGGCCACTTCCCGGGCTGGCAAGTGCGAATGCCATTCACAAGGGGATACCCTTATGTAGCTGCTTCACTGACACCTGAAGACTCTCTCCCGAAAACTATACAGTAATGGGAAGACAATCAGTCCCACCCCAACCGCGGAAGTCTGAGTTCTGAAAATGCTCCTGGCAGGAAAAGCTGCAGTTCAGGATCTTACAGGAGAAAACAGGGCTGGGGGAGACAGAAGCGAGGAGTGCCCGGAGGAAAACCTTCACAGATACTTGTGTATGTAGTAAAAAATGAAAACAGCAGCAACATTAGACACCAACTATTGCATACTTTATATATTTAAAGTTGTTAATAAGTTTTACTGTAGTACGACCACCTCTTTTCAGGATTGTGCTCCTTCACAGAGTCACAAATTTTGGGGGGTGGGGCCAAGAGACAGTCCGTAAACATTCCCTGGGATCTTGTCAATGGCTGCCTGATGTCAGGGCCTCCTCAGGGGACCTTGCCATGGCTCAGAGAGAGAACGACCGCAGAGACGCAAAGCAATGCCTGTGGACTCCTTCCTTTGCTCACAGAGAGTCAAAACCACTCTCTTCCCTCTGCCCTCCTCTTTCAGCTTTCCATGCCTGAAATTCTCTCCATGAGATCTTCAGCTTTTCCTCTCCTTTTCTTTTTTTAATTCTCACCGGAGGATGTGTTCATTGATTTTAGAGAGAGGAGAAGGGAGGGAGGGAGAGGGAGAGAAACATCGACGCAAGAGAGAAACATTGGTTGGTTGCCTCTCCTACACCCTCAACCGAGGACCGAACCCACAACCTAGGTATGTGCCTTACCAGGAACAGAACCCGCAACAATGTGGTTTATGAGAAGATGCTCCAACCAACTGAGTCATACCAGTCAGGGAGAGATCTTCAGCTTTTCTTTCTCCAATTAGAAATAAGGATCAAAATACAGATAGTTCAGAAAAGGATGGTATTCTATTCCTACCATTGAGTAACACTACATCGTTTCAAGGATGTAGGGCAGGGAGAGACAGGGGGAATGGGATGAGCAAGAAGCCAGCGCAGCATCTCGGGGAGCTGGGCAGGGGAAGAGAGATGGCAGTGAGGAAGAACTGCGGAGGTCAATGGGAACCTAAGCTGTTTTATTTTATTTTTTTAACATAAAGTAAATGAGATTACCATAGGACACTAAATCCCTTGCACGTCTGCGGTCTGGGAGAATGGAAGAATGTTTGTTCTGTGCAGGGTGGGGTGTGGAATAGCACCCACTGCCCCAGGATGGAAAAGATTCTTGGACAGAACCCCAAAGGTAGGTTATTCTTCCTATGAAACACAAACCACAAAGCACTGATCTCCCAAAAACACAAATTAGTTAATATCCCATTATAAGCTGCTATTGCATCTTCACACACACACACACACCCTTTTTTTTTTAGAACGTACTGGCAATCATTTAATCATTTTCAATTGTATGACTAATGCCTGTCTTCTGGAGGGAAGCGCCACTGAGGTAGGGACCTGATTGTCGTTTTACGGTCTAATCCAGGGCAATCAACACTCATTCATTGACCCCCAGGCAGTGGATGCATAGGCAACCTTAAAACATAGAAAAGATTTAGCGGAGAGAAAAAGCTTCCTGGGGAAGACAATGGAGATCAAAAGAGGGAGCACTCCCCACTAATAAGCTGCTCTCAGCAGCAATCTTCAGGACGCAAGATGTTTTAGCATGCAAGGCCTCTTTTGCAAAGAATTCTTAGGTTTATATTGAAAAATAAAATTCTGAGCAAGTGCAGAGCAGAGACTAGAATTTCCTTTCAGTATCCATGAGAGACCTGCTGGAATCAAAAGATAAACACTATTGACCAGCACCCGTCAAGCCTTCAGAGGATTCATATCCTGGCCCAGGATTTGATAGCTCCCTGAAGGACCACGAGCAAAACCATCCAGCTATAAGATGCTCCTGAATTCCTGACATTCAGAAACTGTTTGAGACCGAAGATATGTGTTGCTTTAAACTGCTGCATTTGGGGGTCATTGGTTATGCTGAAGAGTCTTTCAGAGGTCAGTGGTTATTTTTCTACTCCTCTATTTGTGCATTGCTGGTCACCCACAGTCTCTCTGACCATCACTGAAAGGAATCCTCTTCCAGATCAGGCTGGAGGGCCGTGCACCTGGAGAGCCAAGAGCCACGTCTGATTGTGGCCATTGTTCTTATTCGATGTGGGCACTAAGCCGCAGCCTAGGCAGTCAGAAGAAAGACATTCTTAATCTGACAGAGTACTTTACTACCTTGGCCTTCCCTGTCACAACCCCTCCCTACTATGATCTGAAACCCCTGGGGCTAGATGGATGTCACAATTCAAAACTGTATATATTTCAGAAAGGTGCCTTAGTTACATCACACCCTCAGTGAGGTCTGGGCAGCACTTTGTAATCAGAAACCAGGCACATTAATATTTATGCAATAAAATGTATGATTATTCATACCAAATGGGATGGCGACAAGACCTCCAGATTTTCCAATAAATAGGTTCAGTAGGGGGTGTGTGTGTGTGTGTGTGTGTGTGTGTGTGTGTGTGTGTGTGTTTTCTCAAAAAGTCAGTGATGAAAAGGTTTTGTTTTCAGCGTTTTTCTATTTCAGGACTGAATAATGGATTGTAAGACTCTACTAATTTTACACTAAAAGTTTCTCTCCTTCATCCTTTTCTCATGTTTCCTCTTATCAAATATCTGTGTAGTCACTACTTAGGTCTACTAAGAAATGCTTTCTTTAAATCGTTTGGACAGTCTGCCTACTTCAGCAGTTCTCAGACCTGACTGCACATTAGAGTCACTTGGGGAGCTTTAAAGAACGACTGATACCTGGGCCCCAACTAAGTCAGAGTCCCTGGGGGGAAGGTCCAGGCATCAGTATCTGCAGCTGCTGCTGCTGCTTCAAAGGTTCCTTAGTGATTCTGGGTTGTACCCGGGGTTGAGAATCACTCCGCTAGTCAATACGATAGCTTAGTTTCCCCAAGACCCCATCTTCCACTCCTGTAATCATTTCAACGGATGATTGATCTTCACTTTTTATTTTGTTCTCCTCTAATTTAACTTATTTGTAAAGGAACATGGCCTTCATTCTGCTTTAGGTATGAGGTAAATGATGTATAACCCAATGCAATGATAAGATTCAGTTACTATCAGCAGTTTGACAGGCACGATCTACTCAAGTAAAAGAAAAATTGCCAGGATGCTTTTCATGAAGCTTAAACTTTAATTGAAAATGCAGTTTACTCGGTATAAAAAAACTATATAATGCAAAACACATCTGTAGTTTAGGGTATATTCGCTCTTATAAATGTCTAAATAGAGGATAATCCAGGGACGGACAAGCTGTATTTCAAAAATTTCCCTCTCCCCTTGCTACCCATCAAAAACATGTGGGATCGCTTTGGTTTTTCTAACTTCAGTAACCAGCAGGGCTGTTCACAACATAACCCTGCAATCCAACAGGCACAAGAGCCCTTCTTATTTCTAGAATTCGGTCTTCTTTTCTCTCTGGTACTTTAAGAGTGCCTTCAGCCTCAAACTCTGAATGCCCCCAAAACTGTTCTGCATCAACGCGGAGACTCAAGAGGCAGCAGAATGAGCGAACTGCAAACTCTCAGCGCCGGGAGCATCTCCATGAGGAAGGTCAACGGAGAAGATGTGAGCAGGCTTCAGGGAGCAAGAGGCCCTGGGAAGCCAAGTGAGAAGCTGGAGAGAACGAAGGTCATTTTTGGAGGACAGACCAATAGTGGCCAACATCTCAGCTAACTAGAGGGTGGTCTGCACAAACGGATGTTGCCTAGAATCACCAATTCACACATTTCCTAAGGGTTTTTTAGTAAACTATTAATTCTTTAAAA